ACCAAGTGCGATTTTCCCAAGAAATATCGACAGAAAAAATGGAATCATATTGCAATCGACAGCTGCTCAAGACAAACTTTGAGGTAACCCCTTTTGCACAACTGATGGAAAAAGTCATTGTTCGACATCTGTCGTCGCCGAAAGTAAATAAATCTCCCCGCTTTGTTCTACTTGTTTCCATTTCCGTCCAATGGCTGGGATCCCCTATGTCGCCGATCAGCAAACCTCGGCTCATATCAAAGTATTCCCCCCAAGAGTAAATATGTTGAACGTATCGATTTTGCTCCTTCATCCCTTTTCCATTGATCATCCAGCAAAAAATTAAACAAAGCACGCATTTGTAGTAATGGTACTAAAGACGGTTGTGGCATGAATGGAAATAATTTCGATTTAGGCGCCAATTTTTACTACTATAATCCTTTTGCCACAAGAGGTTTGACAAGAAAATCGATTACTTGCGTTTTCAAGCTTTCTAGACGGTAGTTAAATCGTTAGAACTTATCATGTTCGTAAAACGGATGAGTTTTTCAAGTGTTTCCTGAAACACTTCACTCATACATTCACTTCATAAAAACTAACAAATTCGATAAAAGCTTCCTACTTCACTCACAGTAAGATTACGAAGTTTCGCGCCATGATGAACTTCGAATAAGATACGACGGGAATCCCATCAATGAAATAGTTTTCCATTCTAACCGGAATTTATTTCTGAACGCAAAAATTCGTCAACTGTTGGATGCATTAAATTTGATTTTCTTCACTCGAAATTGATTTTCGTCTTGCGAGGAAAATTTGCAATCGTTGGAAATAATAACGTCCGAGAATCATAAAAGGAGCTCCAGGAATCTTCACGCCAAAGTTATAGCGTTACATTTACGCAATCTATTCCAGTGTCAAAATGGTAATGAGTGTGGTATATTATTACATTTATATATATTCAAGGATGGTTCACATATTATTGGTGAAGACCACCGCGGTTAGAAACTATTTTGCTTCGAGAGGCGGGAAAACGAACTGATCAAGCCTTTTTTTAAAAGGATTCTTGCGGAATTTAAAATCAAAACAGTCACACACGAAATCAATAAGTCTTGAATTATTTACAGCAATAATTTCGTCAGACCTGTTTCCCTTCAAATTCAAATAAAATTCATGTTGATGGCGGCCATTTTTGCACATACGCAAAACTTTCAATCTTCAATAGATATGATACAGTAAAGCAAGAGTTGATTTTTTTTTTCCTTCAAGCGTTCGCTGGGTTAAAAAATACCTCACAAAGAAAAACTCCGATTATTTACTTTGACACGTAGAACACCCTAAAACCATTCGGAGTTCTAGGAATGTTCTCGCCAAATTTACCGCGTTATCTCCACTAATTCCATTCTGGATGTCGTAGTAGTAAGGGGAATGATGGTGACAAATTATCGATATACATCGTCACAAACACACAAAAAAATAAGGAAGAACCCCATTGCACAGAGATAAGGCACATACACACACAAAAACCAACTTCTGCTTGAGATGGGAAAGGAACCACGGTGGAACCCGGGGAAAATCCCATCGATGCGGGAACACGTCTGCTTCTGCTGCTGCTGCTGCGACGTCGGTGTCGACGTCGTTGAGATGGTATATACGACAGCGGAATGGCTTTTTCAAAAATAAATTCTTCACTTTTTTGTGTGGACGTCTTAACGTCCAAGGAACAGCAATATTCATATTTTGATATCTCGTGATACCGAAGTACCGCAAAAATTATGACTCGTGCTGAAAATCCATTTCTTAGGCCGGGTCCATTAAACTCTAGTCACTTTTTTAAAGTTATGTATTTTTATGGGAACCTTAGTTTTTTTAATCTATTGTATTTTCTTCCCATGTGTAAATTTCGAAATATTTTTGATTTTGCTTTCCTTTTATTTAAATGTATTCAAGTTCCGCAAGAATTATTACTTTAAAAAGTTTATTCGGCGGCGTGCATTAAAAGTTAAACTACAGCGGTCATATTATTTTTGTTCGGGGAACCATGATTATTTAATCTATCGCATTTTCTTCTCATGCGCAAATTTTAAATGATATAGGATTTTGATCTTCTTCAATTTAAATTTATTCTAGTTCCGCAGGAAATATGAATCCTACTGAAAAATTATTTCTTAGTCGGGCTCCATCGAGCTACAAAACTCTTTCTAGTTCAATTTTAGTTTCTGGGCACCTTTATTTTTCATTTTTTTCATTTTTTCATTTAAATGTACAGTATTTTATCTGGCGGAACTGCAAATTATTCGTTCATTTCATTATCTCAAAAGTGACAATTCAGATGCAAGCAATACTATGGCCATCATGTAACTTTCGCAATGAAACATACTCGAGAGTAAATTAACACTTTTCGTGTTCTCGAATGTTGTATGTCAAGTAAATGACCCAAATCGATGTACACTTGTAAAATGCAGGTTTAGACAAGAATGCCCTTCGTGCAGAGCCAAAAAAAAAGAGAGAACACTTTTGAAAAGAACCTTCTTTCTCTGTGGACACGGGATTGTCAATAAGCAACTTCGTAATGGAACATCTGCTTCATCCATTTGTCGACGCTCGACACAACAAATCCCCCCCATTCTCCCCACGTTAAAGATGCAAGCAGGGATTAAATTTCCCGAACACAAAATATGCACTTTTTTTCCTCCTGAAAGGGATTCGAGGACTAATCCTAAACCAGTTAAACACACGCACACACACAGACAAAAAAGGTACTGGAAAAACATGGGAGTTTCCCCTCAAAGCTGTTCTAATTCCTCGCGAACAAAGCGAATAATTATAATTATTACCTACTACTTAATCGACCAACAAAATGGAAGCTTCAGAGTGATTTTCGCCAAGAAACCTTGAACATTCCGCATTCAGGTCAAAATTCAATATATTTTGTTTCATTGCTGTATTCAAGGAACACCAAAATAATTTTTTCCTTGGCCATGAATGGGATTATCCTTGTTTCATTTCAGTACTAGCCGAAAATTTTCCAACGCACGGGGATAAGCTTATTTTGTGTGCGTGAAAAGATTCCAGAATTAACCCCCAAAAAGCCAGGGAAAATGGGAGTGCAAAAAAAATTTAGTAGAATAAAAAATTAATCTAAAAAACCACGTTTTCAAAAAGCAAAAAATAACCTTTAACGTGGTGCGCATCTATTTCATTTGTATTTCACTTCTTCCCAACAATCTCCATGCGCACCACGTTTAAGGTTATTTATTGCTTTTTGAAAACGTGGTTTTTTAGATTAATTTTTTAATCTACTAAATTTTTTTTGCTTTTTAGTCTTACTTGAAAAACATGGTTTTTTAGATTAATTTTTTAATCTACTATAATTATTTTATTCTTTTTAAAAAATATTCTTAAAATTTATTTTTTCACAAAAGATTGCATTGTCATCAGTTTCTAGGCTATCCTGAAAGTTTCAGCTTGATAGCTAGTCGGGAAGTGAGTGAAATTTGAGTTTCAAAATTTGATCTGGACAAACAGACAGACAAGAAAGTGAGTTAATAAAAACGTGTTAATTAATTAGAAAAAAAAATGTTCCAGGGGGTGGGATTGAACTCGGACCTCTGCGACCAATTCAGTTCACCATGGGTTTTTTTCTTGGGGCCAAGGAAAACCTGCTCAAAGTTTTATTATAGAAATCTACTATAATTATTTTATTCTTTTTAAAAAATATTCTTAAAATTAATTTTTTCACATAAGATTGCATTGTCATCAGTTTCTAGGCTATCCTGAAAGTTTCAGCTTGATAGCTAGTCGGGAAGTGAGTGAAATTTGAGTTTCAAAATTTTATCCGGACAAACAGACAGACAAGAAAGTGAGTTCATAAAAACGTGGTAATAAAAAAACATGGTAATAAAATACATCGATTTTCTCGAAAAAAAAAGGCCGTCCAAACGTGTACCGAACAAAGCGAAGATTCATCATCATTACAACTCGATCCACAATAAAATAAACTTCATATGACTTTCGGACTACAATCTTCGTAAAAATTTTGCCAAATCAAAAGCCTCCCGTCCAAGCTTTTGTAAAAATATGAATCAGCGTTTCATAACAGTATTTAGTGTCATCAATGACGGAATATCTGAACGCTAGCGGAATTTCAAACATTCACAACATTTTCTATGAAGATAAAAATTACTCCGGAGCAATCAAAACCATTTCAAGGCGAACATTTCGGAGATTATTGCAGCTGAAAACAGCTTTGAGGCTTGTATTATTCGTTTGGGGCTTTCAGAGGGGGCTTTCAACCGAAGTGTGCTTTTGGCAGGAAGAGCTTTTGGGCATATCCCGTAAAAATTGAATCACGGCAATCAGCTTAGTTGTTGTACAATAATAATATCAATTGAATTATTTCATGGCTAATTTTTTAGTGCGTACGGTAGATTTATTCTCGTGAGAGCATTTAAAAATTACAGTTAGTCTGAACCAGACTCACACAAAAAATTACTGGACAAATTTCGCGAAGAAAAGTACTGTAGTTCAACTTAGCAAGTGGAGAGGATCATCATTATCATCTCCATCATAATTACCCCTCACTGAACCAACAAGATAATAATTTAATCGAATATCCGCAGCAACTTCAGCCTGTCGTAATCTCCAAATAAATAACGCAAATAACATCTTATCCCCCCCCCCCCCCCAAAATAAGAAAAAATTTCAATCAGATATCGCGCTTATTTTTCCACCCAGTCCGGTAATCCCATCATCACTTGCACAATTCATTTATGCGCAAGAATGCCGGCTTTGTTCAGACAACAAAGCATTCCCGCCAGTCAGTCAACACCAGTTCTCGCACGTGGCCAGTAAATAAATCACTATTCCCACCCGAGTGGAGGAAATCAAAACTTCTCCACTCAGAAAGAAAGACGCCGACACGGAATCGCCATTCCAACCACTTCGCGATTCCAGAGTGACAAGTTGGGAGCAATCGGTAAGCCATCAAGCGGGGTATGGCTTTTACAAAAAAAATAAAATAATCATTCCATTCGGAAGACGTAGAGAGTCTTGCAACAGAGACAAAAAAAAACAGATACAGAGTGAAGGCAAAACAAAAAATTGAAACTTACCTTGAACTGCGCATTGGCTCGCGTCGCGTCAGGATCGTTCTCCACACACGTCAGTGTCGACTGGGCCTCTGACAGCCAGGCCAAAAACTTATCCACAGTCTTGTCCCAAGAGTGCAGAGAACTCACTGCAGCATGCAACGATTTCCCCCGATTCACGGCACTGGAAAAAAAGAAGCAATACAACGAAAGAAAGAAAATTTGTAATTACTTTCGACATTTTTCGTAATCGCATTTCAATAGACCTTCGTCAACTTTTCACGACGGTTGGCACCGCGTGTGGTTTTAGCCGTAATTGAGAAAATACTTACTGCACAATACTGATATACTTTTCCCCACAAGCAACGAAAAAGTTGTACTCAATTTTTCTTTAAATCGTTCACAACGTTTTTTTCGCCTTCATCACACGTCTAATAGATGTTCCACAATATTGTATTTCACACCGATTTCAAACAATTGAAAATTCTAAAACGATGAAGAAACAATCCTTGGTACTCATTTACACGCAGTTCACATTCTGCAAGCCGTTCTTAAACAGGTTTAGTCTTTAACAAAATCCATTTATTATTTTTCAAATCCGTAAAATTTTACACAGAAGCCAACAATATATGTAAAAAAAATACGAAGCTTCAAAAACCGGTTCAATATCCAGAACTTAATATCTTGAGAAAGAACTTGATATCTTGAGAAGCGCTTGGAGAAGTACGAGAGGTGGAGCTATTCGCACGTGAAGTGACATCTACAATTAACCAGGAGCATTACCACGCGGCAGAAAATTAACCTTAGAAGTCGTCGTCTGCTCGAAAAGACTCAACCTGCTGTTCAGGAAGCATCCTTGCAATAACAACGCGGAGGAATAAACAAAATCTGATACTAACCTAGAGTTCAAAACACCGTAACGATGATTGAGTTGTTCGGTAACTTTCTTGACGTATCGTGTGTCATCTTGCGGATACGATTCAACCAGGCTTTGCGACAACTGATTCAACTGGTCCAATTTTGGCCGATGTTGGTGCAATTCCCCGTGGAATCCCTAAGAAAATAATTTCAATTTCATTGAACGTGGAGGAACTTGAATGTGATGTATACTGCATTAAATCTTCCACTGAAAGCTCTCAAACAAGAAAAAAAAACATTATTGCCTCGAGAAAAGCTTACGACACTTCGATGCTACGGAAGAAATTCACTTCATTCGAATTCCTCAAGACTCTTCGAAATACCGTTTTTGAAAAAGGACTGAATTAAAATTTTGTTCTGCGGCATTTTTAGGCCTGGCGAGAAGCGGACAACAGAATCACTCAAAACGTGTAAAAAAAATAAGAAATCTGAAGCGCATTGCGGCTTTTGAGGAAGACATGAAAAAATAATTCATCGTAAGCAAGAATTTGTCAAAACGATTTTCTAAAACATTAAAATTCAACGTAAAACATAAAACTTTTGGATAGCTATATTTTTCGTAGAAGACGTCGATTATGAAAAGGGAGAGTGATTTCAGCGTTCATGCTATTTTTTCCTGCAATTCCATACTAGTGTACCTTCTTCATTTCCTCTCACTGACTTAAAATTCCGACACAATAAATCCAAGAGTGGAAATTTGAGTGTACATGAGAATAAAAAAAAACAACAAAACGTATTCCAAATAAATACACGAATATAAAAAAAAAGGGAGAGGAAAATGTGAAACCTTCTGATCCTTGAGCTGAGCGTCCAGGGCGTCCAAGGAGTGCGCAACAGGGCCCAGCTGTTGAAGGCGGCGCTCCATGGCGTCCACCCAGGCCGTCGCATCCCTCCGAACGGCGTCCCAGCGACGACACACAGTCAGCATTTCATTCAGCTCTCTTTTGCGTGACTCGACACGAGCTCTCGTCTCTTCCCAATGCTCTCTCAACCGGCAAACTGCAACGTTAATATAAAAAAATACATCGACACATGATACAAAATTCCGACACGATAAATCGAAAAGGGGAAATTTCGAGTATGCATATTAAAGAGAACAATTACAAGAAATTACACAAAAATAAAATTGAAATTCGATATGCATATTAAAGAGAACAATTCCAAGAAATTACACAAAAATAAAATTGAAAATTGGAATCCTTGAGCTAAGCGTTAAAAAAATGATGAAATTGATTCATAAGGTGTGGGGAAAAAATGAAATGAAGTCGCATTGACATTTCTTTTTCTTTTGTGTCAACATTGTTCCACCAGAATTCATACTCCTTCTTTTTCCCACGACGAAAATACTCGGTGTTTATTTTTTAATCTCGGTCGAAAAATAAGCGCTTTTTTTTTCAGAAAAAAACCACTTCAAAGAGCTTTAAAATTAAACGTTGGACAACTTCAGGGAAGCCATTGAACAGAAAGTGATACCGAGTCAAGATGTGTGCTCGATCGGAATTTAGAGAAAACGGAACCCCCAACTTTTGGAATATTTCTGCGAAACAGGTAGGTTTCGCATTGAATTTCAACATAATATTTTGCGGACAAGCGCTGCTTCAAGACGCTCTGTTTTCTTACGAGCTCAAATGTTCCGACGCATTTTAAACGCAAAATCTCTCCATGAGATTCGGTGAAAATACCGTAAAAGAAAATCTCTTAGTCTCCTTGGACTTCTTCTCTTTTTTCCAAACCATTGTGAAGGCGATTATCAAGAGATAAAAAGTGGTTCATAAACAAGACCCAAAAATACTGTAGACTTGTGTAAAAATAATCCTAGCTCAGACACAGTAATACTTACTCGTCACGTGATCTTTCTTCACGAAATGCTCTAGGAGTCTAGGTATACTTTACAGATTTCATTATAATTACTTTCCCGAATTAATTTTCATCTAATTAAATACGAGGGTTGGCCCAGCTGGACACGACCTCTGATAATTTTGTTTTATAGTAGATGTGATTGTTAAAAAAAAGCATGACGTAGCCCGTGATTTTGTAAAGTTCTGGGATTCTGTTCGGATTTAGAATTTTTTTTTTCAAATTTACAGCATGATCATGAGTGAAAACTTTCCAGTTACAACTAGAATTCTCCACCCATGTCAGAAAGGGCTGAAAATTTGTCAGGCAAGATAGAACATTGATTTTTTCCTTTCTTTTACCCAGCATATTTCCTGCATTTTAAATTAATGCTAAAACAACAAAAAGGGCAGAAAATTGTCAGGAAAGCTAAAAGATTTCAATTTTTTTATGCATTATATCCTCTGCATTTCAGATAATGGTTTAAAAAGTTTAAAAAAATCCATTTGTAGCTAGCCTGACACATTCTTAGTACCTTGAGACATGGGTGAACTCTGGCTGCAACTGGAAAGTTTTCACTTACCACCAGGCATTAAATTGGAAAACCTTTTTAAAAATCGAGAAAAAATCCCATAACCATCGAACATCATGGGCTATGTCATGATTTTCTTGACAGTCACACTTCCTCTAAAACATATCAGAGGTCGCGTCCAACTGGGACAAACCTCGTACTTCAATTCAAATCTTCCTCGCATTTTCTCACTTCAGAAAATAGACCTTCTCCCCCGGATTAAATTATTTTCCAACGGCATTTCCTTCGTTGGCATTATCTTCCTTCCGGCATTTTCTGGTCGAAAAAGGAAATAAGGTGCCAATCAGGGGAACAGACCCATGCCGATACCACGTGATTACCCGTGCGCATAAATCGCCTTCCATGCCAACAACCTTCTGTTGGTGCGGGTGATTAACGTCGATCACTGAATAGTACGCGCAGGAACAAGAGAAACCCACCCAAAAAAAGAACCCCCAACACCCATCCCCTGATAACTGGAGGAACATTCAAAAGTTTCTCATTTTTCCTCAGCAAAGTTTTTTTTTTTGGCTCATCGTTTTAACGCTTTTTATTTTCTGAATAATTTTAGGAAATTACGTAAATGAAAAAAATATGCGATAATTGCTCAGAGTTTTTTTTTTTCAATTTCAACGACTTACTACCGACAGATTCCCTTCATGCATAAAAGTGGCGCATTGATCGTTTATTGCAGATTATTCATGAAATCCAAAACTCTTTTAAATCCTCGTTTTGTCCAAGTCAGAACAGTAATAAAAATTTATGTTTTGCAGTGCCAACAAATTCTGAACTTTTGCAGCATGATTTCAGCATTTGTTGACAGGTTTCTCCAAAATACAGTATTATGCTGCGCAAACTTCTCAAGAACTTCAAATTGACTGTTCACCCTCGCCAGTGATTTTTTAAAGCATCTTTCATCAGTTGAAATTATGAGTCCGCAATCTATCAATGATTCAATGCCGACAAAAAATCAAGAATTGTTTTCCTGCCAAGAATGGGTATCCTTTTTCAGTCACAATGAATTGAATGCATCAATATGGTGGTTGTTTGATCATGCTGTGTTAAACACCAAAACTTCTCTTCGACAATTTCATAGAAAATCGAGCAACCGATTTTTCTTCGTTCGTCATCAACTTTTTATTATCAATTTTCAAAAAGTTCAGGAAATTGCATGGCAAGAAGGGAAAACTACATTCAGTGGAACAATACGAAGTGCAACGCTACCTTTTATTCAATTTTCGGTAAGAGAATTCGGCAAGAAAATTGCAAGAAAAAACAGGAGTAGTTCGAAAGTTCTGTCAATTTTCTCATCTTTTGAACAAAGATGAGGAAAAAAACGCTGTCATGAGAGAACGACCAAAATCGCACCGGAAATATTTCTTGAACTCATCAATTTTTTTTTTTACCTCGAATGAAATGCCATTTTTCTAACTTACCTTTAGAGCTTATGAGAAAACCAGGCTGAAAACTAAAACCTGAACAGATCCAACATATTTCTATTACTCAAAACTGGTACACGCATCTTTCATCATAAATTATTTTTTCTGAGGCAACAAAGTTTTAAAACTATTTCTAGATAGTTATCAGTACAGTACCTTCTAGCTAAATGAAAATAAGTGTCCTCATTAATAAGGTCATCTAGAGCTTATGAATAATTCCTTATTCATAAGTAAATAAGTTCCAGAGTTAAAATCATGCTCAACGTAAAGAGTGTTGCATTAATTCAGGTCTGCTGTAGACTCGAATGCGACTGCTGCTTTCTTACTCAAAAGATTTTTATTCGTTTTGACACACTCAACAGAAGGACACGTGTCAATGGCATTTTAAATTCGATAAGATAAGGTCAGACAAAACTTTCTCTAGTAAAAATATTTCATACTAATAACTTTTTCATGAGTCAATACATCATTCTCTTCGTTGATGCACCTCGTCCTCTTCCTAGAAAAAAAACCTCATTTTTCAATGCCAAAACAGACGCAAAGGAAAGTCCCCACAAACTTCCCGAATGCCCCCAACCCATCCCAAAGCAGGGATAAAGAAAGGAAAAACTTTTCCTCCATCGTGGGGGGGGGGGGGGGGGGGGGGG